GGTCCAAAGATCGTCTGGTTTTGTCTGTACCTCTGGAAGAGGGGAATATAGAAGTGGAGGTTTCATCATAAAGTTTCAAAGGTTTGAATATTCACCGGGGGATAGTCCCTAAAATCCACCCCCCTAAGGTGTCTGGCCCTGTCGGATTTCAAGAAAAAAAAAACACTTCCCCCAGTGCCCAAACCCACTTCTCCAGTGGCTTGCTGGAGAGAGAAAGTGCTTGGTACTGAAACCAGAAGAGGTCAATGCAGTTCCTTAAATGATGAGACTCTTCTATTTGTTGGAGGAAAGTTTGTCAGCCGGCTCTGATCAGTGGCAGACTAGGAGTATAGGGTTGCTATGAGTTGTTGAGTTCGGACGTTTGGGTAGTCTCAAGCAAAGTCCGAACCAAAAAATCAAACCTGTTGCTGTCAAGTCGATTCTGACTCAGCAATCCTGTAGGACAGAGTAGAACTGCCCCACAGGGTTTCCAAGGAGTGGCTGATGGATTAGAACTACCGACCTTTGGGTTAGCAGCCATAGCTCTTAACCACTGCACCACCAGGGCTTCAGTAAGGCATACTGATTTGTGCAACCCCATTTATGAAAGGAGGACAGCTCATCTATAGTTGTGTCTACAAATTTAGACCCAAACTCAACCTGGCACCTTCCTAACTCACCTCTCTCTGGTCACTATGCCTTCTACTGCAGCCACATCAGATGGACTCGGCCTCCTCACCATGCCCCATGGATGCCCCATGCTCCCCTGCCAGTGGGCCTTAGCTGAGGCTTTATTTTATTTTTTTTAATCATTTGGAAGACTATTCTATCTCACATCGCCACACATTTAAATCTTTTGCATTCCTTAAAACTAAGCTCAAATGCCAACTCCCCAGCTCCCACTTGGGATTTTTCAGAATGTCTCAACATAACTAGACAACCTTGGGTTATACCATCTTATCCATTGCTGTCAAGTTGATTCTGACTCATAGCGACTCTATAGGACAGAGTAGAACTGCCCCATAGGGTTTCCTAGGCTGTAAATCTTTACAGAAGCAGACTGCCACATCTTTCTCCTGCAGAGAGGCTGGTGGGTTTGAACCACCGACCATTCGGTTAACAACCGAGTGCTTAACTGCTCTACCACCAGGGCTCCTTTGTACCATCTTAGTGCTTATTGCAGTCCTCGTATAAAGTAGGGATTTCTTTATGACTAGGGACTCCTTGTTGTTGGTCTAACCCTAATGGCTAGGGTGACCATACAGTCCAATTTGCCTTCCCAGTTTGTGCCTGTTGTCCTGGTATAATTATTATTAGCTCCCTCTTTTGCCCTGAAGAGTTCTGGTTTGGATGATAAATTGTATAGTCACCTTACTGAGGGTCTCTATTCAAGTTCTCGGCACATAGAAGGGACTTGATAAATAAGGTGAATTGCCTGGAACAGCATTTAAGAGCTGTTTCTTACCCAATTTCCTGGGCCCTACCCTTTTCACTAGCCTTATGGAGGCAAGCTACCATTTGTTCCTCTTTCTCTTACTGGGGAAGGACTCCAGAATGACCTATTACCACTTTCTTTTTGGCCAGCCTTTCCAGGATTTCAAAATGCTCTGACTCATCAAGAAGTTGCTTACCTCAACCCTTCCGATTTTTCTCAGCCCCTCACAGTAGGATGGCCAATGGGTGTTGGAAACGTGTATGAAACATGAGAGAAGTTCAGGACCTGCTCTTTGGAATGAAGTCTTTATTTCAACCTCATCTGGACATTTGGCCTGGTCCAGTTTATTTGACAGCCCAAGTTTTCAAAATTACCTTCAATGACATAGCTACCTTGTGGGGAGATCACAATTTGGAAAGCTCAGAACTTCTTTATTGTAAAACGTATAGTTAACGTTCTAGATACTGCTCAGGACTTAGGGAAGACAAAGTTCCTTGCCCTTTTGCATAGTAGTAAAAAGCTTACTCAAGGGCAAGTCTGTTGGGGTCTGTGTTTGTTGACGTTCTTAAGACATCTAGCATTTGGAAATAACAGCAGGCAAGATGCCTGGCCTTGTGAATGGAGCTCCATCTCCCACGTCAGGGAGCCTGGATCTCCTTTCTCCTTCGCTGACTCACTGCTTGCTTGAGGATGAATCATACCCCCTTTCTCGGTATTGGGTCTCCATTCCTTCATCTCCCCTATAAAATGGGCGTATTTGCCGTTCCTACCACACAGGAGGGGGCTGAGGCTTTAAGAGGCCTTGCTAATTCCACAAAAAATATTATTAAAAGTAAAAATGTGCTGTAAGTGGTTTTGACTCCCTGAGGAGGGAGGGTATGTGAGGCCGTTTTATGAAACTGCTTTAGTTTCTGGGACACCCCCTTTCACTGAGAACAGCCTCTCAGAAGCTGGAGACAGGCAGGAGAATGAGTCTCAAGACAGGTGGGAAAGAGTCTGTTTGAGTGGAAGCAGGAGTCGTACGAGGAAATCACTGCCAGTCATCAAGAAGGGGAGCATGGAGACAGGGGTAAAAAGTAGACAGGGCTATTCTACGGAGGGCATGGATGCCAGGTTGAGAAGTTTGGACTCTCTCTTAGGGCCATGGGATCCCAATGGAAATGATGGAGCAGGAGTATGGTATGATCTGCAGTGTGCTTCCAGGAGACACATCCATTAGATGGAGGAGCAGAGACTGGAGCTGGGGTCTGTTGGGTCCCAGTGTGACTCTAAGCAAATGGCAGCTCCCTTCTATCTGAGCTTCGGTTTCCATCTCTGTAAAGTAAACAGGTTAGGCCCCGAGTACCTCTGAACTTCCGTGACTCTACTGTAAAGCCCAAGAGGAAAAAGCTTGTGTGTGTGTGTGTGCATGTGCCTTGGGTGGGGGAAGAGGTGGGAATGAGCTAACTGTTCTGTTAGACACAAAGCAAAGTTCAGCCACCTTCGTCTCCTGGGAAGAAGCCTGACCACTCTCAGAATCTTAGACTGGTCTGAAGGATCCCCATGTATCCAGAGCACAAAAATCTTTCTTTAGGCCGCAACACAGCACATCTGCACTTTAGGGGTTGGCCAGTGACCTCAGTCTATACTTGCCTGCTATCTACTTCCTAGTTCAGCTGAGATAGCTGTTATTTGACAGGATTGCGTTAAGGTTGAAAACTCGTTGCCTTCGAGTAGACTCTGACTCATAGTGACCCTATAGGACAGAGTAGAACTGCCCCATAGGGTTTCCAAGGAGCAGCTGGTGGATTTGAAATGCTGACCTTTTGGTTAGCAGCGGAGCGCTTAACCACTGTGCCACCAGGGCTCCAAGGTTGGTGGCATTGAGGTTAGTTGCATGCTAACCAGCTTTTCCTCAAGGTACTTCAGGTCTCTCCCTGTCCTCTATTAGGTCTTCAGGAAACCTTATCCCAACCAGGACCACGTGGCGTGGAGCCTCAGAACTCCATCTTATAAAAGCACAACTTGATAGTATACCTTTAGTACTTACCAAGGTCTAATGGAAGACTGCTACATAGAAGGTTCTTTATTACAAAGGTGAAATCAGAACACCATCTATTAAGTTATTTAATTACCCTTATGTAAAGACCCACATAGAAAATTCCTCAGGGAATTATATGGTAACAACAAAAAAAAAAATTTTTTTTTTCTCTTTCTCTTTTAGTCATTTTGGGACTAATTGCAATAGTTTCCTTAGGTTCAGAGACAATCTCATTTATGCTTCTGTTTATAGCTGGGTTTAAAAATACTTATGCTTTTCATCATAATCTTCCTGAAATACCTTTTTTTAAGTACGTTTACATACATACATACATAAATAAAAGTTCAGTTGGAACCATCTCAGGGCTTGAAGTAGAGAAATAAACCCACGTAGGAGTAGTGAACTGACTGAGCCTTTCTCAGACCTTAGTTGAAGTAAAAGATCTGACAAATTTCAGAACTTCATGGG